TTATCACTTAATTCTGCTCATATACTCATTTAACATGTATTCTTAAACCTTAATTTTCACACACACACTTTAACATATGATTGTGGGTTACACATTGAATTATTACATTAATTGTTGAGTGGGTGGTCACATTTCAACTTGATGACAATTTTTATCTTCTTGTCTGAATAAAACGTCATTGATAATGTCTGAATTTGAACCAACCTTCCACATAAAAGTTGTAGGAAATTGTCTCATCTTTTCAGGAAAAAAAATTGAGATCATTTGAACTTCTAGAACTCGAGATATTGGCTAAATACTGACTAGTGTCTAGGTTACAAGACATATTCAAACTTCTATATTGTTGCTAAGATTTGGACTTTCAAACAATAGAATTGAGTATTGACTTTTCATGAAAGTTTTAGGCCTATGTCTTAGCTTTTCATCCATATAAAGCAGACCAAAATCTGAGATCAATAACTCCAGATATGATCTAATTACCTAACATATTCTAATTTGGACTGCACCAGCATCTCTTTTCTAAGTTTGGCCTTCTCTTTGTCATTTCAATTTCAATACTTCAACTCATCAATCAATTCTTTTATTTATGTGATAGGTCTGTATTTAATATGAACATTTATCATAAATTAAAGATACTTTATGGTATTAGACCTATTATTATTAAAGAATGCTTTAGTTAATGAATTATTAATACTTCAAGTGTAAAATAATGATATAAAACTTGATAAAAATATACTTTTAAGTACTAATCAATTTGGTTTATTGATAGTATTCTCTCTCTTATATCATTTTTAATTATTTTTATTTGAGTGTTTGTAGTGTTTTTTATTTTCAATCAAGTGTCTCTATTTATACTTTTTTTGTTTAAATATTTGTGCATAACAAATTAGTAATAAAATAGGATAATTTTGACACAAAATACAAATAGGAAATTTTAACAATATAGTTCTCATTTCAATTCAATCCTAAGTAAATAAAAAATGACCACCACTCCACTAAATCACCCTAACCCTATATATCAACGACAAAATATTTCAGTTGGCTATTATGCAAAAAAAAAAAAAAAGAAAGAAAGAAAGAAAGAAACAAAAAATATTGATAGTAATCTAGACAACTACTTTGAGGACCATTCAATATTGGTTTCACTAGCTAGGCAATGCCTGTTATCATATTTCATCACTATTAGATTAATGACCCGCACTAAATTATGGGTCAAATCAATTTTTTTATATTAAAAATATATTTAGATATTGTTAATGTTTTTTTCTAGCGAACAAAATTTAAACTCTATAGCGGTAACCTGAAATGACCTGATTGACTTTATGAGTCCAACACTACTAGGTTAATGACTCGCACTAAACTGTGTGTCAAATCAAATTTTTTTTAAACATAAAAAACATATTTAGATGCTATGTTTTTTTTTAGTTAAGAAAAAATTGAAACCTTGTGGGGTAACCTGATATGACCCAATTAACTTTATGAGTCCAAAACCAACCTGAACAACTTATAAAAATATAATTTGACTAAAAAAAATGAAGATGACATCTTTTTTTTTAATAATATTAGATTAACAATATATTAGATTGTCTTACGCCAAACCAAGTCAAAATATAAAACCCGCAATCTAAGTTATGAAATTATGACAATATCATAGAAAACAAATCAAAATAAATTACATAGCCTACTTCACAATCAATCCAATATTAAAGAATTAAATAAGAAAAATTAATTAAAAAAGACCTAAAAACAACCTTTGTATGATTGAGATAACCTCACAGAAAGCAAATTGAAACAAATTATGAAATTTAATTCTTAATTAACCTAATATTAAAGGATTGGATTAAAAAAATAATTTAAGTTAATTTGTTAAACTCATGACTCGGGTTATAAGACTATGATAACCTCATAAAAAAAAAACTTGATTTAACTCGGGTTAACCTGTCAAATTTGCGACTCTAGTCATGTGATTGAGATAATCTATAGAGAGCAAATCAATATAAATTATAAAGCTTAATTCTTAATTAACCTTATCAGACCCCATGTTAAATGATGAAATGTATAAAAATTCTAATTAAAAAAATAACATAACAATGAGCCATGTCAACACAAGTTAACTCATTTAACATTATTATCAGGTCATGAGATCGAGATAATATAATAAAAATTAAACTAAAATAAACCATGAAATATAAGTCTTAATCAAATATAATCTTAAATAGTAAAAATGAAAAAAATAATCAATCAATAAAAAACTGAGTCAATGAGGTTGACTTGTCAAACTCATTATCTAAGTTATGAGATAATAATAACTCAATAAAAAAAAAATCAATGTTGAAGGATTTGTGACCTAGGTCATGAGATCGAGATAACCTCTTAGAAATTTTGTTTTTAAAATGACTCTATTAACTAAGGTTAAAATGTTAAAAATATCAATCATGATCATGAGACAGAGTTATTTTTATAGAAAGCAAATCAAAACAGATTATAAAACTCAATTCTCAATTGATCTTATGTTGAATGATAAAATTAGAATAAAAATTCAATCAAGAAAAAATATAAAAAAAATAACATGAATCAACTAGAGTTAATTTATTACGTATTATTCTGGATTTTGAGGTAAGAATAACCTAATTGAAAGAAAATAAATGAAATTATAAAACTTAGTTTTCAATAAATTCAATATTAAATGATAAAATTAAAAAATAATAATTAAAAAAATCCAAGTCATCTAATTTAATAAGTTAAA